GATAAAGGAAATAAGTGTCTGATCAGTGTATGCTTAATGGACAAGAAGTCTCCAATTCAAAACATCTCATCAGCTGCCAGTCAGAGTTGACAACGATAGTTCTTTTACCTGTATGCCAAGAGGGAAAGGAGAGTTAAAAAACCAACTTAAAGCACAACACTTACTTGTTGCCTAATTTCCTGCATCTCTCCATCATCTCGGTCAACAAGGTCTACGAAAGAAAAAAAACAGAAAAATAACAAGCAATAAAGGGAAACCGTGAACACCCGGTGCAGGTGCTCCTCAACTTATGACCACAATTGAGCTCAGAATTACAGTTGCTAAGTTTTTCCAGTTATTAATTGGACTGACCCAACTTTATAATATTTTTGCGGCAGTCGTTACAAAAATCACACCCTGGCTATTAAGCGAATCCATGGTCATTAAGCAGATCAATTGTCTGTAATGGGCATTTTTGGAATTAATGGTGATTAAGCAAATCCCCATGGACCTGAAACAAACCCCTGTGGTCATTAAACGAATCAATCATCTGCACTGGGCATTTTTGCATTTACAAGAGGAGGAACAAAACTTATTTCTGGCGAAGCGTCTGTTGTTGTGATTGTTTTAAGATGCCTGGAAAACTGAGGCTAAAACCTCAGCTTGTGTAAGATGTTGTATTTCCGCATGCTTGCGTTTCCAGGAGTGTGTTGTTGTTTTTTAAAAAAGCAAAAGTTGGCACACTGAAGTGTCTCATTAGAAATCCGACATCTTGCTTCAGATCGTCTTAAAGGAGCAATCATGTTAAGCCGACTGGAGTTTAAAAATAAAAGGAAGTGTCATCAGAATGACAAAAGTGAAAAAGGAGTGTGAACAATGGCACCCAGGAGGATTCCAAAGTAGGATAACAAGTTCTTTTGCCTTGTGCCAAGAGACAAGCTGGGCTGTAGAAACTGGAAGGGTACATTATGCTCAGGGGGTGTGGAGGAGCCTCTGCATTCAAATGGTTCTCAAATGCCTTTCCAAGGTTCCTGGGGTTGCCATGTTTTTATTTATTTTATCAGATTTAAAAGAAATCCTACGACATAACACGGTCTGAGCTGGGTTAGGGAATTCTTCAGCTGTAAAGTAAGCCCAGCCTTGAGAAAAACGTTAAGTCAGTTCCTTGTGCCAGTCCCAAATTAATTCTTCTGCTGCTGAATATTAGCAGTTGAGCGAGCGTTTCTCGGCTTTTTTTTAAAGATCTGTGGACTTCAACTCCTAGAATTTCCCCAGACAGCAAGCTGAACACATGGGAGGAAGAATGATTATGGGCTTATGATTTTATTTATTATGTTTAGAACTCACCTTTATTATTTTTACAAATAAGGGAGATCCAACAGACCTCCTATTTTCCCCACAACAACAGTCCTGTGAGTGGGTTGGGCTGAGAGTGAGGGCCTGGCTCAAAGTTACTCAG